GAGGCAGCCCTCTTTCCCAGTGCCTGCCCCTCTGCCGCAGGCTCTCGCTACTTCTCTCGTGCTGGGATTTGCGTTCGTCATAAAACCTGCAGAAAACTCATGCTACCCCACTGAAATTAAGGAGTTTTCTACCAGCATAACTATCTGATCCGGCTCAGGGTGACTCAAGACAAGCACCGCCACCACTCTGCTGGGAGAGCTAAGAGGGACGACGGCAGCAGCCTCAACCATGGCCATGGCCATGCCAGGGTTTTTAAAATGCTGCCTAGCAGCTGCTGTGCTTCATGGGAAGGTGGTCACAATCAGATATTCACAACGTTAACTAGAGGCAGTATGTTTTAACTACGTGGTGGGCTGGTGGTTTTCTGGTGTAAAGACATTTTAAGCTCACTTTTACAATTTGGAAATTATATAAAATTTTAAAACTGAAGCTTCTCTCCTGTGCTTTGAAAACTCATTTGTCTGTGATGAGAATAATAACGTGACTCTATTGCTGTCTACGTGTTTTGCTAACCAGTGAACATACTTCCAAAGGAAATGGTAGAACAGAAACGTTTTCATTTCATACTGGGGAAAAAAACAACCTCAGATACACTCTCATGTCATTTGCTTAAATCTTGTTTGGACAGCTTGCATGGCTCACAATCTTGCTATTATCACTACCTCCTCTGAATTAAAGCGAGAGCAGGAAGATAAATACAATACTGCAATACACGGCTCGATACCGAAGAAGATCACTCTGCTGTGACATGCCTCGCACTTCAGCTCTAATACAATGATATGGTTATCTAAGGTGTGAGGAGACAAACAGCCTGTAATATATTAACACACTTTTCATTTCGGAGATAGCGTCAGGAGCTGAAAAACAACTCAAATTCACCGTGCCGCTTTGGTTATTTCCCCTCCAATACCAGGTATTTTCTCCCCTGTGAACCCCACACCAGATTTGTGGGAGCAGCAACAGACTTGCCCTGCGCCAGCAGAGCACCGTGAACAGGAACCAAGTGCTGGGGTTAAAGATCTACTGAGAAAAGCCCATAAGGGCACTTTTTCTGCAGCTTCAAATATTAACTTTATAAAAGACAACTTGCAGCAATTCCCATTTTTAAGTTACTCAAAGGAGCTTTGAGATCATTTTAAGATGCCCACTGCTTGTAAGACATTTGACATCCAGAAAGGAGAACAATCTCTGGCTGCAGAAGTGCTTTTTCTTTCCTCCAAACCTACATTTAAAGTGTCACTGGCACAGCGAGGACAGGGAGAGACACAGAGCTCGGGGTTTCAATTAAGTGGGGTTCTTAACCGACCCAGGTACCAGCCTGACGCCCGGCTACAGCTTCAGCTTCCCCTGAAACCAGCCATGCTTCTGCCTGTGTGACTGACTGCTGAATTGGCAACAGCTACCTTTGCAAAACCACTTTTGCCAGAACACCTTCTTGTGTTTTCATTAAAGAGGCAAGAATGTAGATAAAGCTTTTGCCAACAATATCTTGGTCTATTGGAATAGACATTACAAAGTGATAAACTACCATTTCCTCAGTGTTTTAGCTCTCCAGTGCAAGAGCAGAATTTTGCTCCTTACGAAGGAAGTCAACAGTAGGTGGATAAGCATGAGGAGAAAAGCAGTGATGCCTGTTTCAGCTCCTCTGTAAGCCACAGAATGTCCAGAACTATAAGAAAGTGGAGAAAAAGAAAGGTGGAAAAGACATTTGTACAAGGATTGAAAGCATTCCTAGAAAGAAGAGTGGCAATTAACACACATATGGAAAAGCTCCTCAGTCAGGATGACATTAGTAACTGCTTTTTTTGTATTTGATCACTAAAAGTATCTTTACAGGGAGCATTAAAAAAGGAAAGATGTGGAAAGATTAAAACCCATGCGTAGCTGTTTCCTCCCGCTTAGCCTGCCAGTTAATCCCACAGGTCTTGCTGAAGTGAAAAGACACATATAAGAAAGAAAAGGTGACGGGGAGTGCATGCATATCATTACAAACTGGTACTTGACATTCTCTTAGTTACAGAAAAGTTTTAGGACGCTGGTGACTATTATAACTCCCTAATCCTTGGCTGGCTTCAGAAACCCTTCCCATAAGGTCAAGGTCAGGACAAGGGTAGTGCCTTAATAAAAGAGGGAATATGGCATCTCTAATGATTGCTTCTGGCTGTTTTTCTTCTTCCCTATAAGAATGCCACGATGAGCGTTTGCTTTCTTAAAGTGATGCAGAGCTCTTTGCTTTCACCTGCAGACAGACCCTCACTGCCCACCCTGGGGCACAGCCAGGGATCTGACAGGGGACCTGCAAGATGGATGTTTATTGCTAAAGACCACAAATTTAGGGCCGTCTTCACAGGAAAGCTCGGTGAAGGTGGAAGAATCCTGTTAGCATGCAATTGCTTAGTACCTTAGATAACCTACTATTTATTTTAATGTTACCCACCTGAGGGAAGCTCTGCTAATGAATCTATTTTTGTAGTACCATAAAGGTTGAAGTTTAGAGCTAAGTTTAGAACAGAGACATATAAAAAATGTCAAACCAGGAAACAGCTTAATGAAAGCAGAGAGTAATCACAGCAAATTACAGTGAAATTTCGATGGGATTACATTTTGAATTCCCCAAACAAGTAGAGGAATCCATCTCACTTAACGTCGTTCCATTTTGCTGAGAATTCACTGTAAAGATATGCTATGTAAGTAACATCATGTAATACCATAAAAGGTGTCTTAAAAGTTACAGTCTAAGATGCTTTTCAAAACAGAGTTCCGATTTCTTCCCACTGCAGTCTACAAAAAAATATCAAGATATGCCACAAATTATCACAAAGAAAAAAAATTAATTGTAACATTAGGAGGAATAAAAGGCACATGTGTTATTTTGTGGGTACTAATAATGCAGTCCCTCTCTAAACTCCAAGTTTAGAAATCAACCAGCAGTGGATGTGGCAGGGAAGTTCACCCCAGGAAAAGAAAGCCGGTATTCCTGGGGTGCTTCCAAGAATCACTGCAGAATTTAATCTCTCCCCACTGGCAAACCCAGGTTTGCATCTAAGAAATGCCCTGTGGTCAGCACCTCAGCTGCCTTGAACACCTCCTCTGAAACAGTATATGTACAGTTTGCATATATATGTACAGTATATGCCTTCCTCTCCCGCCCTGCAGGTTATCTTTCTTTCACCCAGGCTCTACAGCTTACAGTCCAGTAATAAATAAAAGCAATTTCACATTGCTTTTTACCATATATAGTGATTTTTTTCTACTTTTCAACAAGTTTCCAACATGAGAATCAGCCGGGGACTTTTGACCCCACATTATTACTATTGCATAGCTCTGGATGGTTAGTTTAGTGGAAAAAACATGTTGACTTTTGAGTAACAATGTCACTGCAAATCTCTCAAGGCTAATTCTTGATGACAGCCACTGTAAATACACTAGAACGTGCACAGAGCTGCAGCCTGGCCCTATTAAAGGCAATGGGATATTGTGTATTAACTTTAAGGAGAGGAAGTTCATAAACCAGAAGCGTGCCATGTGTCTGCTTAAAATGACCTGTGAATATTTTACATATGAGGTCTAGGTCTACATGATCTGCTACAGAGCAGTTACCCTTTCAGATAAGATTTTGTAATAGAAAAAGCCTCTTCTATTCAGCTTTTCGTAAGTTTATAGAAATGGATACAAAAGGGAAAACAGGATTAAAGATCCCATGGCTGTACAGTTTAATACCGTTAAAACTTACTTACCAATGCTTTGATGCTTTAACCCCAAATTATTCCCCCAAATTTTTACATTTTCTACCGCACTAAGCCACAGAGTTGTGCTGTCCTCTCCACTCAGCAAGCTCGGAGGGAGAGACAGGAAAACACACAAAATCTGTCTGAAAGGTTTTGTAATCTTTGCCTCACTACAAGTGGTGTGGACTGAACAACCTTTTGCTAAAAATTAACAGTGTGCCTTCTTACATGACTCTAGGTAGAAACGTGGCGTCTGTGCTTGTGGCTCTCATATTTTTGTCTACAAAATCCCAGATATGGCTAAAACATACAGTATTTTTTTCAGAGCAATCGCAGTCAGCTTTCCACACCTGTGCTGGATGCACAGGTCGAAAGAGTGGTGTGTAAATAGTGGCCATTTTTCCACGCATCCCAGCTGGAGAGGCAGAGATGCCCAGGTAGTGTCTGGATGGGAGGTATTCCTAGGCATAATCCTAACACTGTTACTGTAGCAAATCCACATTTACCAGTTGGTACAGTGCCTAAAACAAATTCTGAGATTACTGATTTAAAACTACATGATCTCATACTGATACAATCCCTGTGCATTCATGGGTTGGCTTTCCACAAGTCAGTAGATCTCAAACTACTTTTGAACTGGACACCAGCTTTTCCCTGTGGCGTAAAATATTTTCAGAGTCCAACTGTGCAAAACTTGGGGTAAGAGCTGCAATTGCAAGCTCAGCTTTCTACGAAGATCAGCTGAAACACAGGGTTACAATTAAAGAACAAGCTCTCAGGGGCAGAGGGGACACCACCTCATGCTCAAGGCCATGCCCAAATCCTGTGGCCAGGCACAGTGGAGGAGTGGACCACAGACACAGTGAATGGTTACTTCTCAGGCTGGGAGTAGAAGGGAGACATCTCATATACATGAGACATAACAGCAGGAGAGCTCGAGGCTGGTGTCAGTTTTTGTGACTCATGTCCCGTGCCTGAACTTGACACATCATGAGACTTTTGATCTCCCAGGAAAGTCTTTGCTAATTAGCATACAGAAACAAAGACTCAGGAGAACTTCTAGGTTTTTGGTTTTTTTTTTTCGTTTGTTTTTTTTTTTTTTTCCAAAAGCACAAAAATTGGCACATTAAGAAAAGAAAGGCCTTCATGGAAATCTAAATCAAAACCCAGAACCTCATTTAGCCTCTCCACTTCCAGACAAGGTTGAATTCAGGAAGAGAGCAAGCGAGAAAGAGAGAGCTTAGAAATTAAAATAAGAATGTTTTCGTTACCTTTTCTGCAAGCCAGCCTAGATGCCTAATCTCTCGACTTCCAGCAATCCCTGTTTTACCCAGCTGGTCTCTGACCTCTGCAATCACCCTGGGGATGAGCTCATTGACACTGGAGTGGATGGCATTGAACCAGGCCTGGGCTGTAGCTGAATCCTTACTCCTGAGCACCACGGTGTGCTTGGCATCAGGTGAATGAACTTCAATAAGTCTAGAAAAACGGGGGGGGGAAAAACATTATGTTCACTCAGATACCGTTAGGAGGCTAAATTTATTATCTCACTTAAGAGTTAGCAATGAGTTAAAAAGAATTATACTAATATTAAGACCTAGCATTAAAAACTTACCTTTACAACACCTCAGTAGAGTAGGATCATCTTATTTGAAGCCAGGTCTGTACTGGCATTACACTAAAGGGATTTGCCAGTGCTGATGCAACCCCACATCTAGTATGTCAATAGGATTTTCAAATATAAAGGCAAGAGAAGCATTCATCCATTAACATTCACTGACCCAGCAACCACCCAGAACTGCATGGGAGATAGCTGTGGAGAAGCCAGGGATAAGCTGCTGCTTATCGCAGCACACCCAGAGTTTCTCAGTGTGTTTCTTTTACATATACAGAGCTAAATGAAAACCATCCTCATCCCAAAAGGAGAATTTTTCTTAGGATTGCGCTGTGGTTTCAGTGACACCACTAAGTATCAGCCAGAATCCCACCGCAATTGCCCTTCTCCAAGAGTTACCAATGTCCTCAATGCTCCATTTAGATCCTGCTAACAATGGCAGGAAGAAAGTGCTAACGGCAACCGCATGATTGTTGCTGGCAAGTATCTTCTACAGTTTTCCAAACTCCTTTGTAGAGAGATTTTCTTTTTCCAAAAAAGCATGCTTACTAGACCATCCTGTGGGCTTCCACCCCACCACTGTGGCTTGAAAAGCACAAATGAACATAGTTTTCAGGAAAATTAATCCTGTCCATCATGGTTATGGGACCTGTGCCAACACCTTTGCTAACAACAACAACAAAAATGCTTTGAGAGGCAGCTGCAGCTATTTCAGTTCTGTTCTCAGCGAATTTACTAGTTATTAGTGGGGATTTGTGTGCTCTTTATAGCTTTGTAGGCCACTTGTACTTGAACATTTGTTAAATAACCAACAAAGTAATAATAGTCTGATTTATCTCTATGTAGCAATTATAAAACCAAACCCTGGTCATTGCCCATCACTCAACTCTGTATGACATTTGTGCTTTTTCATTGTACACATACAGTGACAGCCCCTGAACGTCACCCACACAAATTTGACCTGAGATCTGAGCCTAAGCATGTACTTCTGTCCTGTGTGTTGCTGCCCAGTCTCTGGGACACCCAGCGAGTCCTTTCTGGCGCAAGAGAGTAATTAGTTCAGTGGAATTTATTCAGGTCGAGGTTTGAGACAGCACTGTAATGCAAATATTTGTTATGCAATTACAAAATCCTGCAAATTGGAGCTTAACTAACAATTAAGAGGCTTTAACTAATTGGTTAAACCAGAGCAGAATCCAGAACAGAGGGCGACTCGATCTGCGCAGCTCTCTGGGGCTTGGGCAGCGAGGACCGCTGGTCTTGTGTTTGTTCATTTCGGGAAGGGGAGGTCTCCACATAGACACTGCTCTAAAGATAGAAAAGGTCATGATTTTCCAAACTCAGCAGCTGAACTGTTCAGGGTCCTAAATCACTGTTTGGATAGCTCAAAAGGTGGGTTGATTTTTTCAGAAAGCACTGAGCCAACACAATAACGCACGTTTCCTCAGTAAAGCTGCTGGAGCTCACCACTGTCTGACAGTAAAGACTCTTATTTAGCTGCTCCAGGACGCACCAGGGATTCAACTTCAGGTACCGAAAGGAGAATTCCTTGTCAGGTGATGCAGGTCTGGTGAACAAGAAAGCTACATTTGTAGACAGGCATGTTCCCAATCACAGTCTCATTTTTTCTGAACAGCAAGAAAAAGCCGTCTCCCTGACGGTTATGATTTAGCCATTTGTGTCTTACGATCAATACGATCGTGCACAGCTACCACATCCTGGTCTGTTTTTTTTTGTCAGAAACACTGCTCTCTCACCGCCCTATGAACTTGAGTTTGCACTTGTAGGCGGCTATCAATGGAAACAAACTATACAGGCTTGGATTTTCAAAGTACATTGTGGTAGCTGGTGAAATGTTGCTTATTACTTACAGAACACTTTTTGGCATAAGAGGTCACGGAATTTTACAAATGAGGTCAGCGACAGCATCCCTGTTTCACCACCTAGAAAGTGGGAAGGTGCATCACCCAGACAAGGCAGGGAACGAGCCAGAAGCAGCACTCAGCATTTTCCACACTCAAATTCCCATTTTAATGCTTCTTTTAAAGAGAAAAAAATATTTGGACCACACAGCAGTACTGTGCTGGTTTTGTGAAACGTTAATGCACTGTATGGATTGTGTGAAACAATGCTCTTTAGAAAGCCTGTGGTTTCTCTAAGGGAACCCCCACCTCCAAAGTCGCTGCGTATTGTGTGGTTAACAAAGCACTGAAGAAGGACTATAAAGACACAGAAGAACGTGCTGATTTTTCAGTCGTGAAGGAATAGCAGCAAACTTTGTTTCATTTCTTTTTAAGTTAGAGTTGTAGCAGGCTTTGGTTTAAAAATGTTTGATAGACCATAGTCATTCCACATTTGATAAGGCCTTTTTCTGTAGGAGTGTTCATTATCTAGAGCTGAAAGAGCTTCCAAATGGCAACTCACTTCCCTCCATTTGGAAAACGCTTAAATTCTTACCTAAAGCAAGTGGATTGACGTACAAACTAGTATTTTGCTACCTGGGCCTTCATCAAAGTGTATTTCCCTTGATGGCGGCTATTTAAGTATTTGTACAAGAGTTCTGTCCCCTAAAATCATGAACATATAGACAGCTCTTAACAATTCTGTTTAAGGGGTTCTAAACTATGCATATTCTAAAATATACATATTCTACTGTGATATCAATGTATATATTCTAGTACACATATGCACACACACATACTGAGCCATGCTTGCAAAAACACTCCTAAAATATCATCTCTCAGTGACTTCTAATGGGGTTATTTTGGGGACCACTTGTCAGTCATCGAAGTTTGATTGGTGACGCACTAACATCTGCACAAAGTCTACCTCGCTCCCTGAGCTGAGTGACAGGAAGATTGGACAATACATGCTACAGTTCTCAAAAATGAGCTCGAAATGGGAATAAATGCTGCTTTGACAGCCCTGAAACTGAATTCTTTTATCCACGGCACTGGTCCAGCCCGAGGAATACGTCTGTAAGCATCATTCTTGTGCAAGCTGCTAGGTAGGACACCTTTTTTATTCATACCTTAAGGACGAAAATCTAAATCCTCAACTGCCTGAACTGGCTATTGCCATAAGATCCGGGCACTAAACTACCCATAGGAAACTGGGCTTGCAAATTTCCAGTAAAGATCCTGGACTTCTGTCTCCACAGTCAATTGGGATAGAGATACTAAAAGAAACTTAAAATCTTCCTGGAAACCCACGAGCTCCGACCACAATCAGATGCTGAAAGCACTTCATCCCTTAAAACCCTTTTCTGCCTTTCAGCCTACGCTGCTTTGATTCACCAATCCATTTGGATGATGCTTTTTGTATAACAGCTGACTGATGGCATTTCCACACTTTCTGAAAAGCAAAGAAATACCAGTGACCTTAGTAAACGCCAACACTAAAACACTTAAGCGTTTCCAGCAGTCCAGCCATTGTGGCTTTGATTCGTTCCTTGGCTAAACTGACCACCACTTACTGACTTCTGTTTATCTGCAGTTCAGTGATAAAGTTCCCTTAATTCCCCACTGAATTGAAATATTTAGGGCAATGCCACAGCTGTGTTTATTCTCACACTCCACCACAGTTATGTAAATACTGCATATGGAGCTGTTTCTGATAAAGCTCATACCAACCCAAAGGAATTATATGTTAGCACTAGATGGCTGCCAAGATGCGCGGCATCTCTCCAGCTTGGCAATGCGTATGAATGATATCACATTTTCTCAGAGATCATTTGGCGAGCCTTATAATAAAAGAGTAATTTTCTCTCTGTTTCTCCAAGAGTCCCACTGAGCCAAGGTGTGATTCCAGCATCCCCTTCTCCACCTGAAGAGCATGGGGTGACACAAAACGCAGTGCCTCCAAATGCCGTAACCTTGCATGTAAGAGGCCAAAACTCCCTCCTTCACTGCATCATCCAGAGCTTTTACTTTACAGAGGATCAGAAGAAGTTGAAAACAAATGTTTGATAGACCAAAGTCATTCCACATTTGATAAAGCCTCTTTCTGTAGGAGTGTTCATTCTCTAAGAAATATCTTTTACCAAATCTCTTGACAGCATTGGCTCAGGACCAGATCAGGCACTGATTTACACTTTGTGCCTTCTCCCAAGTCAGATTATGTATTCAGTGACTGATTAAAGTGTGGAGTAAATCTCTTGAAGTTAATGATAAGCTGGAGCCAGAGTTATTTGAGCCCATCAAGCAACTTTGATTTTGCACCAGCATAGCCAGGAACAAAACACTCTGCCACTGACTCTGCAAACTTAAAAAGGAATTGAGGGCCAAACCTCTAACTCCATCTCCTCCATCATTGTCTGCACATGAAACCATGGTAAGTAATTTTGTTGATTTCTGAGTGTACAAACAGAGGAGCCTTTCCAGCATAAGGGGGGATTTAGAGAAACACAATCAGAGATTATATTTACATAGTTGTAGGTTTTGTTATAAAATAAGTAAAAAACCCTGTTAAGGTTCTTTTCCAGTTCCACGTGCAGCATCAGGAGATGAACCAGGAAAAAATACATTAAAATTAAGCATGGAAACTTTGGGTTCAGGCTGCAAGGAAAATATTCCATAGAGACACTGTTAGGCTTGCAACAAATTCCCCAGCATACACTGAAGAAGCACCTTCATTTGATACACTTAAATGGAGGTAAAAGCAATTTTACCAAGCGAGCACTATTTGGTAATCAAGTGGAATTTTTCACTGTGAAAGTCTCTTGGTCCCCTCGTCATCACAAGGGTACCTGCTGTATTAACAGTGACTTGCTGATTTTCAGCTTACAGTAGTAAAAACGACATAGTTGCTTGTTTCTTGGGAACTGGACTAGACTGATGTCCAAACAGAGGGTATATATATCACT